GTCCCCAACTCGTCCAGGTAGCGTCTCGGCGGCCGGCGCCGACTCGGCGGTTCTGGAGCGCTGGCTCAACGAGGCGTTGAAGGCCTTGGATGGACGCTGGAGCGATGTGGTGTCGCGGAGCTTCCTGCTGTGGCGTGGCAGGGGGATGGATGGGTGGAACATGTGGCATATTATATGTATACATACATACATACCTACATACATACATACCTACCTACCTACATACATACATACCTACCTACATACATACATACCTACCCACATACATACCTACCTACCTACCTACATACATACATACCTACCTACATACATACATACCTACATACATACATACCTACCTACCTACATAGATACATACCTACCTACATACATACATACCTACCTACATACATACATACATACCTACCTACATACATACATACATACCTACATACATACATACCTACCTACATACATACCTACCTACCTACATAGATACATACCTACCTACATACATACCTACCTACATACATACATACCTACCTACATACATACATACCTACCTACATACATACATACCTACCTACAGACATACCTACCTACCTACATACATACATACCTACCTACATACATACCTACCTACATACATACATACCTACCTACATACATACCTACATACATACATACCTACCTACCTACATACATACCTACCTACCTACATAGATACATACCTACCTACATACATACATACCTACCTACATACATACATACCTACCTACATACATACATACATACCTACCTACATACATACATACCTACCTACATACCTACCTACCTACATACATACATACATACCTACATACATACATACCTACCTACATACATACATACCTACCTACCTACATACATACATACCTACCCTACTACATACCTACCTACATACATAACATCCTACCTACATATATACATACCTACCGACATACATACATACCACCTACATACATACATAACACCTACTACATACATACCTAACCTCCTACATACATACCTACCTACCTACATACATCATACCTACCTACATAGCATACATACTACCTACCTACATCATACCGACCTACATACATACAGACCTACCTACATACATAATACCGTTACCTACATACATACATACATGCCTACCTACATACATACCACCTACCTATACCTACAACATACATACCTCCCTTACATACTATATACATCCCTACCTACCTACCTACATACATACATACCTAACATACATACTACCTACCTACCTACATACATACATACCTACCTACATCAGACATACCTACCTACATACATACAACCCTAACTACATACATACATACCTACCTACATACATACATACATACCTTACCTCATACTACATACCTACATACATACCTACCTACCTACATACATACATACATACCTACCTACATACATACATACCTACCTACATACATACATACCTACCTACCTACATACATACATACATACTTACCTACATACATACATACCTACCTACATACATACACACCTACCTACCTACATAGATACATACCTACCTACATACATACATACCTACCTACATACATACTTACCTACCTACATACATACATACTTACCTACCTACATACATACCTACCTACATACATACCTACCTACATATATAGATATCTACCTACATACATACATACCTACCTACATACATACATACCTACATGCCTACATACCTACCTACCTACCTACCTACATACATACCTACCTACCTACCTACATACATACATACCTACATACCTACCTACCTACATACCTACATACCTACATACCTACATACCTACCTACCTACATACCTACCTACCTACATACATACATACATACTTACATACATACATACATACAGTACGCACATACAGTACACACATACAGTACACACACACATATATATATACATACATACATATATATATATACATACACATATATATATACATATATATACATATATATATATATATATTATATACAGTACACATATATATATATATAGACATATCTATATATATATATATACATGTACATACATACGTATATATATATATATTTATTTATATAAATATAATTAATGAGGTAAACCCAATGCCATCAACCATTCCCCAAAATCAACATTTTTATGGGGGCTATAAACCATGCCCCAATTGGTAGGTATATGGCGTTGGGTTTACCACATATAGGTGGGATAATGTAGTTCTGAATCTTCGAGAGATTTTTTTTTTTGCAAGGTTCGTATTGCAGTTGTTATTGGGAGAAGTCTTCTTTTGAAATAAGTTAATATGGGGCATGGGGAGAGATGATCGAAATGAACCTTTGGATCAAGATTAGCGAGATCACCTAATGGTAGTGGCAAATAACATTGTGATTAGATAACATACGAGCTAAATGTATGAGCTGTATGCTAAATAGAATCGGATGTTCACCGAACTATGACTATCCGAGTACCATCCAGATTTCCCCGGGTTTTTTGACCCATTTCCCCACCTCTTTTCGTCTCCATGTCCTCCTCCATCCTGTGTCTCTAAGGAGCTGTGACTGTGCTCATGGACTTCACCCGAACTACATGAGTCGCTGGGCGGCACCAGTGCGGTGGAAATTCCCCGAGTTCACAGTCCACATATTTCGACATATTTCGACCTCCTACATCGTCTTAGGTCCATCTTAGGTTGTCCCTGTGGCAGCGATTCGACCGAGGCAAGCACCAGGCGCAGCACCAGCCCATCTTGGGGAAGGGCATCGTCATCAAGAGCAACAGCAACCAGAGATATGCCACGACGCCCATCTTGGCACAGATGCTTCGCAAAGTGGGCGAAGTCTCAAAGGTGCCACTGCAGGCGCCTGATGATTCAGTGACTCATCCCATCCAGTAAATCGCCCATCATAATCCCCAAATGAACTGATCCAATACGAAATCAGGGTTTCAATAATATCGGGAGGCCAGTTGATATCAAAAAGCTGGAGATTTACATATATTTACCATTATTTACCATAAACATCCATTAACCATAAGGATCCATAAGGACCATAATCATAGACAACAACCCCACCACCCCCCCACTTCGTGGAGGGTTCTGGGTCTCCAGGAGTTCGTGGTGCGCAACGATTGCCCCTGCGGCTCCACCATAGGCCCGCTGCTCTCAGCGCAGCTGGGCATCCGCACGGTGGATGTTGGTGCGCCGCAATGGGCCATGCACAGCTGCAGGCGGCAGCGGCAGCGGGTTGGGCGGGTTGGGACTTGGAAGCTGAAACTCCCATGGTGTTGAGCAGCCTGTTTTTGAAGATCTGCAGTTTTAAATGTTTGTTTTCGTGGCTTTCTGAATGTTATTTCCAGATTGCCTTAACCTGGCACTGTGCCTGCCTTGTTTTTTTTTTCAGGGAATCTGCACATCAAGACGATGTCCAAGCTCTGCGTGATCTTTGCAAAGGCTTTTTCCAAAGCTTCCGCAGTACCTTGGCTGAACCGCTGGTGTTTTTTCCAACGCTTGGCTGCTTGGCTGGTGCAATCACCAGCGACGCCCGAGGTGTGGATTCCTCCACGAAAACGCTGTGACGCTGTGAGCCAATTTTCCGACCTCGGTGAAGAAAAGTCAGATGGCAGCTCCGGGGAAACAGGCGGAAATAGGTAGCTGTGGTCCAGTGGTCCAAAGCCGCCAAAGCCGCCAAAGCCGCCAAAGCCAACTTTTGACTTTTGAGTGTTTGATCGGTGAAATGTGGCTAGCCAGGAAAGATTTGACACAACATACATAGCCCAATGACCCAAGGTGCAGTTTTGATCGAAAAAGGCGGGAAACGAACTCGAACATGAAGAGTTGCTGCCTAGCAATTACAAGACCACCCATCCTCATAGGGCTGTCAGGCGCAAACTTACAATTCAGGAGGCTGAGGATATTTTTCCAAATGTATTCCAGAGTTCTTGATAGAGTTCTCAGCAACTTAGGGCCAAGTTTCGAAAACCGTTTCAAACTCCATGAAGTGTTATTCTTTTTTTTTCGAGGTCATTGACCCAAGCAGAGCTTCAGGGGTCTTTTCCTTTTCTTTCAGCATGCAGATCACACTGGTTTGGGCCTTCGGCCTCACAAATTCCGAGTCTTCGACTCCTCATCCACTCGCCCTGGTGGAGACACCAATGTAAACCGACCAATTCAGGTCTGCAAAGCAGTGCTATTTTCAAGTATGAGCAGCCCCAGAGGCTTCTGAAAATGGGGATCCCCAGTTCAATGACAGGATGATTTGGGGTACCTCGGTACCTCCATGAATTGGAAACCTCCATATGTGTGTATGGGTCAAACATATCATCCCCCCCAAAGTGGATGGTTCAAGGTCCATTGGTATTCCAATTTTGCGCCGCCATACCCTTATGATTCATGAGCACCAGAACAAGAGCTCCTAGGTTTTGGTCCATAAAATAATAAGGAACCCCTAAATCCACTAGTTCATCATCAGTTCCCCTATTTATCATAGCCATAACTGAGGGTATAAACCATTCTGATCCACACCACAGATAAGTCAACTGGGACTGTGATTCATCCGCCCAGGAAATCGCAAAGTCAATGCGTTTGGTCCACCTGGGAATGCGGTGCGTGGATGCATGAGAGCTTCTTGCCGGGGAACCCAACACTTTCGAAGTGCTTTCTCCTGGTGGTTGGTGGAGGCTTAAGGCCTAAATTGCCGGGAAGACCCTTAGTGTGGTACAGGTACTGGGTCTGGTTGGTGGTTTGGAACATGAATTTTATTTTTCCATTCAGTTGGGAATGTCATCATCCCAACTGACGAACCCCATCATTTTTCAGAGGGGTAGGTCAACCACCCGGGGTCATTTTTTGGGGCTGTCAATTGATTTCATGGGGGAAGAGTACCCAGCAGGTCACGCCTGGCTGATGATACAGCCTGTGCCTACGATTTTGGATGGCACGACTTTCACGCCAGCGGACATGGCACCTTCAACGGTGCGGACGTGCGGACGGGACGTGTCGGGATGGTGAAGTGGAAAAAACGGCACCAAAAAACGGCAGAGTGGTCGTTGTTGACCCTTTGGTCAACCTGGGGGTTCGATTTTGGACCCGCAACTTGGGGATACTTGATGCCATGATCATTTCTTTTTGACTCAAGTTTGTAGCCTCAGCATTTGTTTCACCTTCATTGCCATGGATTCGCAGGGTTACGCTTCCAGTGTGCTTCCTGGGGACGTGCCAATGTCAGAGGAGATCATTGGTGAGGAATTGATGAACTTGTGGGACAAGATGAACTTGGATCATGTCAAGGCTGTTGAAATCGATTCTGCCACCACCGTTTCTTTCGAGGTGTATTTGATCCCAGAAGCGCGCATCCCTTCTCTGTCCCTCAGCGAAGACCCAGGCTCTAAGATCCCCAAAACAGACGAGTTCAGAGACTTGGAGGTCTCCACAATGGCTGGGAAAATCATCAAAATCCAAGTTGCTCCAAACTCCAGCGTGGCCATGGTGAAGGATGCTTTGCAAAAACCTTTGGGCCTACCTGCGCTGCTGCAGCGGATAGTCCTTTCCGCCAAAGAATTGGAGGATTCAGAACAACTTCCTCCAGAGGTCACTGCGTTGACTGTTTTGCGCCGCGAGCCACCTCCCATCACTACGGAAGAGTTCTTGGAAAGCCTGGCCTTTGGTGCTCACGCTTGGGACAACACCCTGGTGTCCAAATGGCATGGATTTGATACCTATTCCAGCTTTCCAGTGACTAAAGACGAGATTTTTGAATGGCTATGCAACTTCCGAAAAATGAAGCACACCGCCTTCACGGTCGAACACTTTCTGACGTCGCTGAACGTGTGGTTCCACGAAAGCAGTGGCGATGATGAACAGGAAGTAGTGCACCCTGAAAGTTTTTTGACAGATGTGGGGAAGTTGCAAGGCTTTCTGGAGCAGCATTGTCACTCTCCATCTCTGTTCCAGGTCTACGAAGACACTTGCTGTCACGACGACGATCAGGAGTTCATGTTGTTCATTGCAGGTCGTCTGAAAGTGGCATCTGACACTCTGATGGTGGCAGCTGTTCACCTGAATTGTTGGATCTAAAAAAAATCCAGGGCACAGAGCCGACCAGGCGAGAAAAAACACCATCACTACCAGGAACATCATCGATACATTGGGGACTTCCCTGTATCCCTTGCGAAGACAGATTGCAACAGGGCTGAGATGACAACCCATAGGCCTCTTGTTGTGGAGTTGCAATGCAAATCCCGGCAGGCAAAGCTTGTTGAAGTTGGATCAAGATATTTTGAAGTGACATACTTTTGAGATCTTTTGAATTGTTTCGGTATGTTTCCAATCTACCGAGCATTGCAGGGTGCCCTCCTGGCAGGTGGTCGTTTCTTTCCTTTGCCGCACACCAGATGGACCGGTTGAGCACAGCAGTCAGTGTGCTCTCCCAAGGGATAGAGATGCTTTCCTATGCTTTCTTTACTTTCAAGGCGTCAGCATGTCGATCTAGAATGATCTAGAATGTGTGTATATATATATAAACATAATATATATATATATACATACGTACGTACGTACGTACATACAGACAGACAGACAGACAGACATACCATACCATACCGTACCATAACATACCATACCATACATACCATACATACCATACATACCATACATACCATACGTACCATACATATATACATTACATACATACATTACATACATACATACATACATTACATACATACATTACATTAACATTAACATTAACATTATTACATTACATTACATTACATTACATTAAATTACATTACATTACATTACATTACATACATAAGTCTTTCACTATTTTGCTGGTTCAGACCAAGATCAGCATGATACACAGGATCAGCCTTATTCTCAATCCTGAACTTCTCCTAGATCCAAATCAAAAGGAGTCACGCTGTTGTCGCAGCTTGTGGCCGAAAACCTTCCCTGTATAGGCTCTGAACTGGAATCCTGGAAGCCAAGTTGAGCCGTGTCACAAGAGTCTCTAGCTGATTTTTAGTCTGATGATATTTTCTTATTCATTATTCATTATTCTTTAGACACTCTGAACACTTGATGCTGCCCCTCGGAATCAACCCAACTGAGCCCGCAGGAGCATCAACATGATTGCATTCAAGATGGAGGACATGCACGTGTCAGTTTTTGAGTTTTGCAAAGCACTACCTGACCGTTGCTGCCAAATAATGGTGCAAGAAAACCTCACGATCCTCGAACACTCACACACGTCATGGTTGTTTGGTTCCGCACATCCATTTTTCGCTGGAAAATCCGCATCAAACACGGGGGTTTCATTCGGAAAATAATCGAACAACAATGCGGGGATTTTCCAGCCACGTTTGATGACACCAGATGAGATATCCCATGAATATCCCATAAAACCTCCATAGAATTCCCGTGAGAAAATCCTATTAAATTATGTAAAATCCCATTAAATCCTAGAAATTCCTAGAAACCATGGAATTTATCCCATGAAACGAAATGAATATCCCATGAAAGACCCTTATTTTTGTTCGGATTTCCCGTGTTAAACACCCAGGGTGTTTGTCAATCGTCCCAGGATGTAGCTGATGCGGAACCCGAAAGCTTGGCTGAAGACGATGAGAAGGAGCTCTCGGTGGTTCATCCTGCGAGGTGCAGCAAGATTTCATGGATTCTGATATATGATGATAGGGAATTCTACTGGGAAAGCTTGAAT